TTGTTTCTAATACTGAACCCCTGCATTTTGAATACATGATCCGCACGCGGAGCATGTATTGAAAACGGCACTGTAATAACTCGGAGCTCGGCGCGGATTTCTCGGATCGGCGCTGGGGCCAACTGGCGGCGCCTCCGGCGCCGCCCCTGGCGCGCTCCGCGCGCCAAGGACGGGGGGGTCCAGCGCGGATCCGAGGAATCCGCGCGGACCTCCGAGCTGTTGTGCTGATGCCGTTCTTCGTTCCCCCAGACTCTCGGCCGCCGAGTCTGGCCCGCAGGGTGCCCCGGCGCGCCCGGCAAGCGCGGCCGTCGTGCCGACGGCGAGGAACGAAGGAGCGCTGCCGGCCACGACGCGCCTCGCCCACGGGAGCAGGTTCCGCGCGCGGGGGGCCAGCTACACCGACGCTCGGCCGCTGGACCCAGCCTGCACGGTGGCCCAGCACGCCTGGCAAGTGGCCCGCAGCTCCTGCGATGATGACTCCGACGTGAAGGATGACATTGCTGATGGCGACGACGACGACGACGACGACGACCACCACCACCACCACCACAACGATGATGATGATTATGCGGTGATGATGAGGCTTGTCAGGATGGCGGAGATGCTGATGTTCTCGAAACGAATAAATGACTTCCGCTGGGCACATCCTCGACTGCCATGCCATTCAAAGAGTCACCAGGCAAACCTGGTGTGGCGAAGATGCTGATGCTGATGCAGACAGGCAGGCAGGCAGGCAGGCAGGCAGGCAGGCAGACAGACAGACAAACCAGCAGACAGACAGACAGACAGACTGGCAGACAGACAGACAGAGAGACAGACAGGCAGAAAGACAGACAGACAGACCGACAGAAGCCCTAGACCTAAGTTGTCCGACAGGACACAAGGCACGGAAATAAACATCAGAGTGCGAGAATCGCTTCTCGGCACTTGCGAGCTCTGTACTGGGCATGGTCGGAAGGTTGCTGGATGGTCCCAAAAACCCTTGAACAGGCAGTGCAAGTCGTAGCCCCTGCTGGGATCACGGGCGCCACGGGTTTCCGTTGCCCGTGAACCCTCCTCCTGTGTGCAGCCACGGCTCTGCTGCGACTAAAAATGTAGCGCGCCCTGGGCGCGGAACTGCAAGAGGCTGCGATGAGTCGTCGGCGGAAGGCGCCGATCCTAGCATAGCGTCCTGGGCAAGACGCTTGCACTCCCCCCACTCGGCAGCTACGAATTCTGTCCATGCGGCTGCTCCTCCCGTCGATCTTGGGTCCCCTAGCGCATCCAGGTCGCGCGGGGCTGGTAGCGGCCGAGCCCAGGAGACGCCTGGAGGTCGGCGAGCACTCGTCGCGACCACAGGGATGGAGACGCCGAGCGAGCCAGAAGGAGGGACTGCAGCGCAGGGAAGGGCTTGTAAACCAAGCTAGGTATCGGCGCCGCCTGATGACTCCAGTTTCTGCAACAGCGCCAGATATCTTAGGCGGGGTTTCCCAGGAATGATGCTGATGATGACGATGCTGATGGTAACGCGCGCGAGCTTCCCGATGCACTGTGCGGGGCGCAAACTGGCAATGGCCCAAGCGATGGCGCTTGTGAGCTGTGCCCCGACACGGTAGTCTCGCCAGCAGCGGGGCCCATAGCAAGCTTTTGACGATGATGATGATGATGATGATGATGATGACGACGATGACGATGATGATGATAATGATGATGATGATGATGATGATGATGGTGATGGTGATGATGATGATGATGATGATGATGATGATGATGATGATGATGATGATGATGATGATGATGATGATGATATTCATGATGATGGTGATGATGACGATGACGATGGTGATCATGATGATGGCGATGATGATGGTTATGATGGCGGCGATGATGATAGTCATGCGGATGGTGGAGATGACGACGTTGACGATGATAGTCGGGATAGTAGTGATAAGAATGAAGATAATAATGATGATGACAACGACGATGACGATGATGATGAAGATGATGATGGTGATGATGATGATGGTGGACGTGGTGACGATGATAATGATGATGGTGGTAATGGTGATGGTGATGGTGGTGGTGGTGGAGATGATGACGATGATAATACTGATGATGATTAGGGTAATGACGATGATGGTGGTAAAGGTCGTAAAGATGATGATGGTGATGATGATGGTGATGCTAATGATGATGATGGTGATGAGGAGGAGGAGGAGGAGCAGGATGGTGGTGATGATGGCGGTGATGATGATTGCACCGCCACCGGAGGCCATGAACACAACTGGCGACAGCCATAGGACTTCGGCCGGACTGCACCCTTTGCAGTCTCTGGGGCCTCACGCGGCTGCACATGCTGGCCAGGTCCTCGCACGCGTCGGGCACGCCAGGTTAGAGAAGAAAGAAAGGAGGGGACGAGGAGGAGCAAGCACGACGAGGGAGGGGAGGAGAAGACGAGGGGACGAGGAACGGAGGGAGGATGAGGGGATGAGGTTAGAAGGAGAAGGGATGAGGGGATGAGGACGAGGAGATGGGGGGAGGAGGTTAGGAAGGAGAAGGGAGAGGATGAGGAGAAGGAGCAAGCGCAACGAGGGACGGGACCAAAATCGCGGGCGGCCAAGCGGGGCCCATGACAGGCGCCGAAACCATCGCACGCAGGGCCGCGGGCCCGCCACGGGCGCAAACCTCGCGAGCACCACCAGTCCCATGCCGGTCTGCACCCCTCGCGCGCATTAGGACACTCGCGCGCTCAGCGTCAGCCTCATCGTCAGCAGCATCGTCAGCATAAGCATCTTCGCCATCGTAAGAATACTCTTTCCCCATCGCCATCATCTACGACATTCTCACAAGACTCTCATCATCGCCATCGCGGTCGTCGCCGACGCCATCCGCCATCATCCTCATCATCAGCAGCAGCATCATCATTATCACCATCACAACCACCATCAACCCTAACAGCAAGAACCAGAAAAACAGCAACAACAACAACAACAACAACAACAGCAACAGCAACAACAATCGGTTTACCCTCATGCGCGATGTTTCAACACGAACCATGCGACCATCATGATAACCATCCATATCACGGGGGACTATTGTTCTATAGCGGGGTCCGTTATTCCAATTCCAAGATATCCCGCCCAATGAGGTCTTGCAAACACCTCCCCCGAGGAATTTCAACAGATCACGCCTCGAGAACACATGCCCGCGCCTTGCTGCGCCGATGCGAGACCGCCAGTGGAACCCCAGCGAAGGGTAAAGCACAAGGAAGTATCGAACGACAGGATTGCCTTGGTGGGGATGGGGGCTGTCGGCGGTGAGGCAAGGACCTGCTGGCCCTGAACAGAAAGGGACGAAGTCTCGAGCAGGGCTGCTGTTGTTGCTGGGAGAGGCGCCAATGCTGAAGAGAGTAGGGCGCTAGTCCAGCGTAAAACAAAACAAAGTCTCGAGCGGGAACGCTGGTTTTGTTGGGACGACGGCTTTCGGCGGAGAGGAGGAAGACCGCCTTGTGTAAGAAAGGAAGAGGCATCGAGCGGGAACCGTGGTTTTGTCGGGACGGGGGCTGTCGGCGGCGAGGAACACCACCGTCCCGAGGGAAAAAAAGGAAATCTCGAGCGGGAGCGTTGTTCTTGCTGGGAGCGGCGCCAATTCAAAAGAGAATAGGGCGCCAGCCCAGTGCAAAACGGAAGGAAGTCTCGGCCGGGGGCGCTGGTTTTGTCGGAGCGGCGGTTTTCGGCGGCAAGGAGGAACACCACCTTGAGTAAGAAGGGAGGAAGCATCGAGCGAGAGCCGTGATTTTGTCGGGACGGGGGCTGTCGGCGGCAAGGAACAGCACCGCTTCAGGAAAAAGGGAGGAAGCCTCAAGCGGGAGCGTTGTTCTTGCTGGGAGCGGCGCCAATTCAAAAGAGAGTTGGGCGCCAGTCCAGCGTAAAACTGAAGGAAGTCTCGGGCGGGTGCGCTGGCTTTGTCGGGGCGGCGGTTTTCGGCGGCGAGGAGGAGCACCGCCTTGAGTAAAAAAGGGAGGAAGCCTCGAGCGGGAGCGTTGTTTTTGCTGGGGGCGGCGCCGATGAGAGGAAGACTAGCGCGCCAGTCCAAGGTAAAACGGGAGGAAGGCTCGAGCGGGAGCGCCGGTTTTGTTAGGACGGCGGCTTCTCGGCGGCGAGCAAGAACACCAGCCCTGAGTAAAAGGGGAGGAAGTCTCGAGAGGGAGCGTTGTTGTTGTTGGGGGGCAGGTTTTGGCGGTCCCCCAAGCCGCTCGAGCGCGAGCCTCATTTCCAATGAAGATGTAGCCGGCGCCTCAGCGAGAGCGCCAGGGAGCCTATAAGGGGTCCAACAAAATCAATTGTTTAAAAATAACATTCACTCAACAACAACAACAACAACAACAACAACAACAACAACAACAACAACAACAACAACAACAACAACAACAACATCATCATCATCATCATCATCATCATCATCATCATCATCATCATCATCATCATCATCATCATCATCATCATTATCATCCATCATCAACAATATCATCATCGTCATCATCATTCGCATGGACGTCTTCATGAACACACCCTGGTCATCGCCAGAATCCTCAACCGCAACATCGTTTGTCGTCCAGCATCATCAGAATAATCCTGGTCACTCATCATCAGCATCAGCATCAGCATCATCATCAGTATCATCATCATCATGATCATCATCATCATCATCATCCTCATCATCATCATCATCATCGTCGTCGTCATCATCAGCATCATCCTCATCCTCATCCTCATCCTCATCATCATCATCATCATCATCGTCGTCGTCATCATCAGCATCATCCTCATCCTCATCCTCATCCTCATCCTCATCATCATCATCATCATCATCATCATCATCATCATCATCATCATCGTCAACATGACCCGCAGCAGCAGCAGCAGCAGCAGCCCCGTCGTCACCGCCAACATTGATATCAACGTCATCATCATCAGCAGCAGCATCATCATCAGCATCGGCAAATGCGGAGGCGCTCGGTCCTGGTTTGGGTCGAAGTCGTATCGAGCCTGCATGGCAAACTTTCCCCCCACTGCCACGGTCTCCAGGAAGCCGACGATAGCAGCCGTAATCGCCTCCCCTCTGCTCCTCCCCCTCCTCCTCCAGCTCCTCATCATCCTCGTCCTCCTCCTCCGATTCCTCCGACTCCGACACCAGCTCCACCTCCTTCTTCCCCCTCCTCCTCCTCCACATCCTCCGGCTCCTCATGTCTTACCCGCTCTCTCCCTCCATCCATCCATCCCTTCCCACTGCTCATCACATTCCTCATCCTCCAACTCACCACCTCGTCATCATCTTCCTCCGTCTCCTCCTCCCCCTCCCTTCTCCTGCTCTTCGTTTGCCTCCTCGTCCTCCTGATATTGTTCCTCCTGCTCCATTCCTTCTCCTTATAGATATCTCCTCCCTGTCGCACCCCGAGGCCAGTTTTTAGGGCGGGCCGGGCGTTTCGCATGAGACTTCCTCACCACTTATGACTCTGAAGCTGAAAGGTGGCAACAGTTTCACAGATGGAGGGCGGGTCATTTTCAAAATGTGGCTCCCGCCTCAGCACCGCGCACATTCGTTTTTAAAAATGTGCAAGAGATTGACAAATTGTGGGCGGTTCGTTCTCAAAATGTGGCTCTCGCTTGAACGCCGCGCACATTCGTTTCAAAAAATGCAAGAGTTTCACAGACTGATGGCGGGTGGTCTTCAAAATGTAGCTCTCGCCTTAGCGCCCCGCACATGCGTATAAAAAATGTGCAAGAGCTTCACGGATTGAAGACGGGTCGTTTTCAAAATGTGGCTCCCGCCTTAGCGCCGCGCACATTCGTTTAAACCATTGCAAGAGCTTCACGGATTAAGGGCGGGTCCTTTTCAAAATGTTGCTTTCGCCTGAGCGCCGCGCACATTCGTTTCAAAAAATGACAAAGAATTTCACGTATTGAGGGCAGGTCGATTTGAAAATGCTGCTCTCGCCCTAGCGCCCCGCACATTCGTTGAAACAAGTTGCAAGAGTTTCACGGATTGAGGGCGGTTCCTTTTCAAAATATGGCTCTCGCCTGATCGCCGCGCACATTCGTTTTTGAAATTTGCCAGAGTTGCACGGATTCCCATTATCAACGTACCAGACATGGTGTTTCGGAAGGATTCCGGATTATGCGGGCGCAACAGTTATGTTGATTCGCTGCGTTAGAGTCCCAAACACGGCGTTCTGGTACGATTCTAGATCGTCCAGACGCAGCAGTCAGGTTGATATGTGGCGTTGAAATCCCGAGGACAATGTTTTGGGACGCTTTAGGATCTTCAAACTGTTGTCTTCCAACGAGGCAGTTCCCTCAATGGAAATGAACCGCTGTAGGGGCCCAAGGAAGCTTGGAGGGAGGGTTAATTCCAACATCGTTGATGACTCTTGGGTTTCCAGTGGTCCTCCTCCTCCTTATCATCATCCTCCCCTCTCCTGATCCTCTTCCTCCTCTTTTTCCTGCACCTCCTCCTCCTCCTCCTCCTTCTCCTGCTCCGCCTCCTCTTCGTGCTGCTCCTCCTCTTCTTCCTCCTCCTCCTCCTCCTCCTCCTCCTCCTCCGCCTCCGCCCCGCCTCAGCCTCCTCCTCCTCCTCCTCCTTCTCCTCCTCGTCCTCCTTCTCCTCCTAATCATCATCACCACCCACCACCACCACCACCATCACCACCGCCACACCACCACCACCACCACCACCACCATCATCATCATCATCATCATCATCATCATCATCATCATCATCATCATCAGCATCATCAGCATCAGCATCATCATCATCATCATCATCATCATCATCATCATCATCATCATTATCATCAGCAGCAGCATCATCATCATTATCATCATCATCATCTTCATCAGCATCATAATCATCATCAGCAGCAGCAGCAGCATCCTCATCATCACCATCATCATCATCATCATCATCATCAGCAGCATCATCAGCATCACCATCACTATCATCATCACCATCATCATCATCATCATCATCATCGTCACCATTATCATCGTCATCATCATTATAAACATAGTATCATCATCATCAACATCATCATTATCAATATCAGCATCATCGGCAGCATCATCATCATCAGCAGCAGCATCATCAGCATCATCATAAGCGGCATCATCATCACCACCACCATCAGCATCATCATCATCTGCATCATACTCATCAGCTGTAACAGCATCATCATCATCATCAGCAGCAGCATCATCATCAGCAACCTCAGCAGCATCATCATCATCAGCGGCAGCATCATCAGCATCATCATCATCAGTAGCATCAGTACCATCATCATCAGCAGCATTATCATCCTTATCAGCATCATCATCATCATCGTCATGAGCATCATGTTCATCAGCATCATCACCACCATCATAAGCACCATAGACGACAACCACAACAACCACAACCACAGCCACAACCACAACAACAACAACAACAGCAGCATCGGCAGCAGCAACAACAACAACAACAATCGCAACAGCAACCACATCAATAACAACATCGACAATAACAACAACCACCACCACACACACACAACCACAACCACAACCACGACAAAAAGCAACTGCCTCAACTGCAGCAACGACAGCAACCACTACAACAACAACGACGACGACGACAGCGAAAACAACAACGACGACACAAACAACAACCATAACAACATCAACCCCAACAAAACATCATAAACAGCTTCATCAGCATCATCATCAGCAGCAGCATCAATGTAACCATCACCATCACACTATCACATCATCAACATCATCACCACGATTATCCTCCATCATCACCATCATCAGAATCATCATTATCATAATCATCATCATCGTCATCATCTTCGTCATCATCAGCAGCACTTTCATCATCAGCAGCAACATCATCATCATCATCATCATCAGCAGCAGCAGCAGCAGCATCAGCATTGGCATCATCATCCCCCTCCTTAGCCCTCTTCCTCCTCCTCTTCCTTCTCCTCCTCCTCATCATCATCCTCACACCTCCTCCTCCTTCTCCTCCTCCTCCTCCTACTCCTCCTCCTCCTCTTCCTCCTCCTCCTGCTCCTCCTCCTCCTGCTCCTGCTCCTCCTCCTCTTCCTCCTCCTCCTCTGTTTTGCCCCCTCCCACCCCGAATCCCGCCCCGCCTCCCACCCCCCCCTTTCACGGCAGCAGCAATGAACTGGAACAGCGATTGCCAGCGCCTGTGCAGGGAAGGAAGACTAGAGGGGGAGGCGAACTGTCGGGACGATCCATCGGCGCACCGTGCGGGGACGCAGGGGAAGCGGGCGGACCTCCAGCCACTCCCCTCCAGAGCTGGGGTGCGTTGCGGACTCGTCTGCAGCGAGGAGGATGAAAAAGCATTCGAAGGGAAGAAGGGGGAGAAGGGGGCGGGGGAGAAGGGAAGAAGGAGGGGGGAGCAGGAGGAGGACATGCATCGCACGTGCCTTAAGGCAAGGACGAGGAGGATCAGAGAGGATGAGGATGATGATGTGCAGGGAGATGAGGAGGAGGTGGAGGAGGAGGACTCTTCGCGCTACGTCTGAGATGAAGTCCAAACTGGCGCCACGGGCGAAAAGCCGACCCTATCCCAGGCGTCCGTCTCTGCGTGGTCATGGGGTGACATAGGCCCGGGACCAAGTGCGGCGATCAAAGGCTGGCGGCCGAATATGAGACGGCCGCCTTGCGAAGCATGACATAATTGGTGGCTCCAAGTCGAAGCAGTTCCATGGGTTCAAGTCGTTGTTTGGCATTGGTTGGCATTTCTTGGCAGTACTTGGCGTTGTATATCATTCCTTGGCGTTGCTTGCCACTGCTTGGAATTATTTGTAGCCGGTGCTTGGCATTGCTTGGCAGTACCTGGAATTCCTCGGCGTTGTTTGGCATTGCTTGGCAATGCTTTGCATTGCGTTGCATGGATGTGCATTGCTTCGCGTTTCATGACGTGACTTGACAATGCTTGGCATTGTTTGGCATTGCTTGGAATTGCTTGGCAATGCTTGGCGTTGCTTGGCGTTGCTTGGCATTGTTTGGCGTTGGCGTTGCATGGCTTTCTTCGCATTGCTTGACATTGCTTGGCATTGCTTGGCATGGATTGGCAATGCTTGGCATTGCGTGGCATTGCTTTTCATTGCGTGTCATTGCTCAGTGTTTGGCCTTGCTTGTCATACGTTGATTGGCATTGGCATCGGTGCTTGGCATTGCTTGACATTGATTGGCATTGGCTGGCATTGGTTGGCATTGCTTGGCATAGCTTAGCACTGGCTTGGCATTAGTTTGCATTGCTTGGCATTGATTGACATCGCTTCGAAACGTTGCTTGGCATTGCTGGGCATTTCTCGGCATTGCTTAGGCATTGCTAGGAATTGATGTGCAGTGCTTGGCATTGCTGTGCATTGCTTGTAATCGTTGCTTGGCACTGATAGGCACTGCTCGGCATTGCTTGGTACTGCCTGGCACAGCTCGGCATCACTCGGACACGCTTGGCATTGCTTTTGACTGCATGGCATTGCACGGGCAGCCCTGGTGAAACCCCGGGCAAATCCCAAAAGAGAACGCTGGTGGGGAACGGCCCCTCGCCCACCGGCTTCTTCCACGAACGAGTAAGAGCCCCTCGGACAAAGCCCCCTAAGAAGAAGCCACTCCTTCTCAGAATGGGCTCGGCAATTGAACCCGAGCGTGTCATGAGGAGGGAAGCGTGGTGATGCATGGCATGAGGAGAGGGGTGGGAGGAAAGAGCGGAAGGAAGGAGTGCTGAACGGAGGAGGGAGGAGGAAGGAGGCGGAAGGAAGAGCGAAGGAGGAAAGGAGCACATGAGGGAGAAGGGAGTGTGAATTGGCTATGACTTGGCTACTCAGACAGGTCAGAAGATTCCTTGAACATGTCGGGCCCGCGAAGACTTCATGCGCAAATTGATCCCAACATCGCTTGGCAACAACTTAGCAGTGGCAGTGATTGGCATTGCTTGGCATTGCCCGGGAACCAGAGCACTCGGGCAACTGGCCAACCAGGGCAACCCAGGCAAATGGGCAACTGGGCAACCCCAGGGAACGCTGGGCAACCGGACAATGGGGTAACCCGAGGAAAACTGGGGGCCCCCTCTGCATTCGGAAACCGCATCCACTTGCTTCTGTCATAACTCATGAAGTAAAGCCCAAAATCGAAGGGAAAAGTGACGTCGCTGGTGCTGCTTCGCTGGGCAGGCACACGTTGCCTCGCCTGCAGCAGCAAGAGTGCAAGGAGGAGCGCCCGTAGCAGAGAGGGGGAGCGGAATCAGGGCCTCCAGTCGCCGCGGGGGACGGGAGAGGGCAAGGAGGAGAAGGAGGAGGAGGAGGAGGAGAATGAGGAGGAGGAGGAATCACACCGAAGTCTTCCCTGCGCCCCTCCGCTTGAAGGTAGACGCCGAAATCAAAGTTTCCCACGCCAGAGCCGGGAAGGACGAAAATGAACCCGTCCACGTCCTCTACCGCGTCTCGGCCGACGATCTTCACCGAGTCCACGCCTGCTGGAGCTGGCTGGGACAGGAGCAGGAGAAGCAGCAGCAGCTGGTGGACCTGCGGCATAGCACAACATAAAAAGCAAAGGATGTCAGCAGTCAGGCAGGCGGGTTGAGACTGCGGTGGACGACGGTGCTGGGCCGACTGCGATGGCATACTACAGTTTTCCTTCAAGATGGTTTTGACGAGCAGTCATCTTGGCGTAAGGGGCCAGAGAGAGGATCGAGAGGCGCAAGCGAGGAAGAGGAAACATCACTGCCCGCCCTAAGGATGTGTACGACGACCAGCGTGGCACACTGCATGGCAAGTGGCGGTCCTGAAGGGGCCCGAACAAAACTCTGCTGGATTGGCGGACGCGTGCTGGCCCAGGCCCAGAGCGCAAGATCGCTCAAGACGGCTTCTAAGATGCTCCAAGAGGCCCAAAGACCACCTAAAGACGTTTCCAAATCGCCAAAGAGCCCCCCAAGGAGGCCCCCCAGAGACCAACATTTTTCGAAAACCTTATGAATTCCAATGTTGTTTGACTTTCTCGCCTTTTCGCTTCCGGTGGCCATCCGAAGCGTCAAGATGGCTCCAAGATGGCACAAGAGTGCTCCATGATATGCCTAAGAAAACCCAAGACGGCCCCACGAGCGCCCCTCCAAGAGTGCCCCAAAAGGCGATTTTGGGTACTCTAGAAGGGCGAGGCTGATTGGAGTTCCTTTCTTATTGTATCAATGTCTTCCAAGATGGCTCCAAGAGCGCCCCTGACGCTCCCGAGAGAGCCCCGAAAGCGCTCCAAGAGCGCCCAAACGGCCCCAAGAGGCGCCCAAAGGGCCTCCAAGAGGCTCCCAAGAGACCCTCAAGAGGCCCCACGAGGATCCCCGAGGCACCCGAGACGCTCAAAGACGGCCCTGGGCCCGCCATGATGCCCCCCCCCCCAGACGCCCCAACAGACCTCCATTTTCCTCCTCCTCCTCCTCCTCCTCCTCCTCCTCCTCCTCCCTCCTCCTCCTCCTCCTCCTCCTCCTCTCCTCCTCCTTCCTCCTCCTCCTCCTCCTCCTCCTCCTCCTCCTCCTCCTCCTCCTCCTCCTCCTCCTCCTCCTCCTCCTCCTCCTCCTCCTCCTCCTCCTCCTCCCTCCTCCTCCTCCTCCTCCTCCTCCTCCTCCCTCTCCTCCTTATCCTCCTCTCCCTTCTCCTTGACGCGGCGCCAGCGCGTCAAACTGCTGGGCGCTCGCCGGCAGGCAGGCGAACATAATTTGTTTTATAAAGGCTCCGTGGCACTGCCAGCGACTCAGCCCAGGCCAAGGGGTCGCCCACGAGTGTGCGACTTTGCCTCGACGCCGGACTGGACGCTCACGGAAGATTTTTTCCCCGGGCCCCAGGCGGGCGCGCGGGCTCAGCGCGCGGGCCAGCTGGCGGCGGCGGCGGGGCGGCCCGGCTGCGGCGCCCAGTGGCCTGGGGTTCGGCCCGGTGCCCAGCGGCAGCGGCGGGGCGCCGGCGCCGGCGGTTCTGCGGGCCGGGCTCACGCCGTGCCCGCACCGGTTGCCGCCGCGGCGTGGGCCTCCCGCGCCTGTTTCGCAGCGGGAGAGGCCCCTCGTGAGAACACCGGGGCCCCTCAGGCGAACAGCCGAAGTCCGCCCCACGAACGCTCCGACGAACAGCGAAGTCCGTCAGGCGAACAGCCTGGGGTCCGTCAGGCGAACAGCCCCGGAGACGTCCGGCGAACAGCCCCGGAGACGTCTCGCGAACAGCCCCGGAATGCTCAGGCGAACAGCCCCTGAACGGCAAGGGCCGCTCACCCTCCTCCTCCTCCTCCTCCTCCTCCTCCTCCTCCTCCTCCTCCTCCTCTCCTCCTCCTCCTCCTCCTCCTCCTCCTCCTCCTCCTCCTCCTCCTCCTCCTCCTCCTCAGACCCCCAACCCTGACCCTAAACCCTAACCCTAAACCCAAACCCTAAACCCTAACCCTGAACCCAAAACCCTGAAACCGAACCCGAACCCTAATCCAGAACCCTAACCGTGACCCCATTAACCCTAACCCTAACCCAAACCCCTAAGCCGTAACCCTAATCCAGAGACCGACGGACAACCACAAGTTTCCACTCCAGACTCCCCAGCATGTTCTGGACATCGCGTCCACGCGACCCCTCCCCGAACAACTCGGGGAATTCTCGTGCCCCCACGACGACGACGACGCCGACCACGACGTCGACGACGACGAATACGACGTCGACGACGACGAGCTAACCCTAAACCCTAACCCTAAAACCTAAATCCTAGACCGAACCCTAAACCCTAAACCCTAACCCTAAACCGAACCCAGAACCCTAACCCTAAACCCTAACCCTAGACCCTGACCCTAAACCCTAACCCTAACCCTAACCCTAAATTTCTAATCCTATAACTATTAAACCCTGAATAACCTAAAACCAGTCACCATGCAACCCAGCTCCATGTACTGTAAAAAAAAGCATTTTTCTGAGCATGCGTGCAGAATCTCTTCTTTTTTTACAGCACAAAGTGCCCAGCCCCCGTCGCGAGCCGCCTCCATCCTATGCAAAAAATAGCATGTCCTGCACATGCGTGCAGAATCCGTTTTTTTACAACACAAAGTGCGCCCCTCTTATGTAAACCCGCTCCATCTACGGCAAAAAAAAAAAACACTTCCTGAGCATGCGTGCAGAATCTCCTGTATTTTACAATACAAAGTGCCTTCCGTTGCGACTCGATCCCACAAATAGCGTTTCCTGCGCATGCGTGCAGAACCTCTTCCGCCCGACCCGACTCTTCCCGCTCGTTACAGCACTCGCGTGCCAACTGGATCGCACATCCGTCGTCGCCGTCGTCGTCGTCGTCGTCGTCGTCGTCGACGCTGTATTCGATGCGGTTCTAACGAGGGGAGAGATGATCTTTATGGTGGGGTGGCGTGCGGGTGGGAGTGACGGCCACCGCAGGTGGGTTCGCGGTCACGGTGTATTCTTAATCCTATAATTATTATATCCTTACTACCATAAAACAGGCCCGTATGCAAACCGGCTCCATCTACTGCAAAGAAACATGTCCTGAGCACGCGCGCAGAATCTCTTATTTTTTACAACACCAAATGCCCAGCCCCCGTCGCGAGCCCGCTCCATCTATTGCCAAAAAATATGTCCTGAGCACGCGTGCAGAATTTCATATTTTTTACATCACAAAGTGCCCAGCCCCAGTTGCGATCCGCCTCCATCTACTGCAAAAAAAACAGTTCCTGCGCATGCGTGCAGAATCTCAAATTTTTTACAACACAAAATGCGCCCCTCTTATGTAAACCCGCTCCATCTCCTGCAAAAAAAAACATGTGCTGAGCATGCGTGCAGAATCTTCTGTATTTTACAATACAAAGTGCCTTCCGTTGCGACTCGATCCACCGATTCCACCTAATAGCGTTTCCTGCGCATGCGTGCAGAACCTCTTCCGCCCAACCCGACTCGTCCCGCTCGTTACAGCATTCGCGCGCCAACTGGATCGCACATCCGTCGTCGCCGTCGTCGTCGTCGCCGACGCTGTATTCGATGCGGTTCTAACGAGGGAAGAGATGATCTTTATGGTGGGGTGGCGTGCGGGTGGGAGTGACGGCCACCGCAGGTGGGTTCGCGGTCACGGTGTACTCGTGGCCACGCCTAGTAGACCCTAACCCTAAGCCTAAACCCTAAACCCTAACCCGAAACCCGAACCCTAACCCTAAACCGAACCCTAATCCAAAACCCTAGCCGTGACCCCCTAACCCTAACCCTAACGACGACGACGACAACGACGAAGTTTCCACTCCAGACTCCCCAGCATGTTCTGGACATCGCGTCCCCGAGGCCCCTCCCCGAACAACTCGGGGAATTCTCATGCCCCCACGACGAGGCCGACGCCGACCGCGACGTCGACGACGACGAATACGACATCGACGACGACGACCTAACCCTAAATTTCTAATCCTATAATTGATAAACCCTAATTACCATAAAACCGGTCCGTATGCAAACCGGCTCCATCTACTGCAAAAAATAGCATTGCCTGAGCATGCGTGCAGAATCTCCCGTATTTTACACTACAAAGTGCCCGGCCCCCGTTGCGAGCCCGGTCCATCTACTGCAAAAAAAAACATGTGCTGAGCAGCGTGCAGAATCTCTTGTACTTTACCATATAAAGTGCCCGGCCCCCGTTGCGACCCGGTTATGTAAACCGGCTCCATCTATTGCAAAAAAATAGCATTTGCTGACCATGCGTGCAGAATCTCTTGTATTTTACAACACAAAATGCCCGACCCACGTTGCGATCCCCCTCCATCTATTGCAAAAAAAACATGTGCTGAGCATGCGTGCGGAATCTCTTGTATTTTACAACACAAAGTGCCCGACCCACGTTGCGACCCGGCTCCATCTAGTGCAAAAAATAGCATTTGCTGAGCATGCGTGCAGAATCTCTTGTATTTTACAATACTTACTTGCCCCAGGCCTACACCGCCACTGTGCTGTGGCATGGCATAGCATAGCATGGGTCTTCAAAACGTTGGGACCTCTATGTGCGCGTCGTCTTTCACTGTTACTGGCCCTGGGCCTATTCCAGCACTGTGCTATAGCATGGCATAGCAAAGCATGTTCCCCAAAAAGTGGGGAGCCCTATGTGCGAGTCGTCTCTTCATTGTTACTTGCCCTAGGCCTATCCCGCCACTGCGATACAGCATGGCATAGCACAGCATGGGTCCCCAAAAAGAGGCATTCGCCGACGCAGCCTTTTCGGATCGGGTGTCCCAGGTGGGCAGAGATTCTCGTTCTATAGAGCGTTCCGAGGATGTCCCAGCCCGCGAATCCCATGCCGCGCTGGGTTCCCATGGCGAACGTTGACTCGTCCGCTATGCTCATCGCGTTCATCACCTGGTACCGGCGGCAGAGCCCCCCGGGTCGCACGTTCTATGCCATGGGCATGCACCTGATCATGACGCAGGTCTGGCATGGAGCCATTGGCTCGGCCCCCGACTCCGAATGGGTTGAGGATC